GAGTTGGAATCCACTGAGGACAACTAACAAGGCTCCATCTGCCAGATATGTTGTAAGTATATCCCACCAGTTGGCTATGTTGACTCTTCATCTTGGATCTTTGTGACCTAATGTCTTCTGCTGTAGAGAAATTTAAGACTGATATCAAAACTGGGCTTGAGCATCTTTGTGTTGTATGCCACTCAGCTGCTTCTGACTTATGGTGACCTTACAGGACAGAGTTGACCTGCCGCACAGGGATTCCTAAGCTGTAATCTTTACAAGATCAGGTCACCACGTCTTGTTGAGCCACTGGTAAGTCTGAACCGGCAATCTTTCAGTTAGCAGCCGAGTGTGTAACCACTGCACCACCACTGCTTTTTGCTTAAGCACCTAAGTTCACGAACCGCCAGCCTTCTGGTTAGCAGTCAAGTGCTTTAGGCACTATGCCACCAGAGCTCCTAAATTATGACATGGTATCACATAATTAGAAGGAAGGTTGGGCAATCTACTTCTGTAGTGATACTGAATCGGAAACCTAAGGAGGGGTCGCTATGAGTCGGATCCAACTCGACAGCAGTGAATTTGGTTTTTGTTTTTTATGTCATAACTTGGATGTTATGCTCACAACTAGTAGAGAAGAGACAGGTGCTGAGATGGGAAGCAAGGAGGAGCATCTGTGGAGTCCTCAACCTAAAGGTCGTGCAGGGACTTCCACCGTGAGTGCTCAGGTTTCTGCATGGCAAATTCTTCTGTCCTGTCTATCTTTTTATGAAAATGGAAGCCAGCTATTCCTAACCTAGTAGTCAAACAGAGTAAACCCTCAACGAGATGGACGGACAGAAGAGCCACAGCCATGGACTCAAACACACAATGACCATGAAGATGGACAGGACCAAGCAATGATTCCGTTCTGTTCCATGTAGGGTCACTACCGAGCAGGAGCCAACTCAACGCCAACTAACAAAGACAACAAATAGCAAAGCATCGGATCTGACCTATCAGATGCCTGGGAGAATCTAGGCAGTTTCACAGTATTCAAATACCTGTTTATTCACATCTAAAATGCAGAAACATCACCCACCTCCTCCCACTCAGTGCTCTTAAGAACATTGTAATCACAGATGGAAAGGGCTGGCAAGACAGGTAAGTACTTTAAAAAAAACATTTAACAACCAACGAA